GCCCCAGCTCCTTTTGTCCAACAAATAATGGTAAGTTTCTTTGCTTATGACAGGAATTTGGGTTAAAAACACCAAGAAATGGAGATATGGATCCAAATGGATCTCAGCCTGTTTAATTCTTAGATGACTCGCAGACCCTGGAGACTTCTTGGCTTTAACGTAGAAGAGCAGGAAGAAAGGAATAACGTTCATAGCAAGATAAACTGCATTTCCAAAAAAAAGAAACAGGAAAGTCACAAAGCAAGCTCTCTTCTAATTTGATTCTTAGGGCTATGACATTGGACAGATGTTTGCAAATGTCCGCAAATGTCCGACACTGACAAAGGGAGCAGGTGGTTTCCAGCACTGTACCTAACTCAGAGTCGGATGCCATTCCAGCTCTGGGGATTGAATCAGAGTTTGAACTAGACCAGCACAATCATAATCAGAGGCCAAGAATGGGTGCTCTGCTCAGGGGAAGCTTAAGAAGGTACAATGAGGTCTATAGTTAGCAGAGTCAAATTCAAGCTGATTCTGTGAGGAAGTCTGAAGGAAAGGCCCCATGAAAATGGGAGCTAGGCACATGGATCCCCTTGATAGCATAGAACAGGGTTTACCGAAAATGGGAAGGTATAAAAATGGAATGGGGCAGAGAGCATCTCTGTCTAATTTTTCACTTTAATACCTAGCAACTATGTCTGAGAATATTTAAGCCACTGAAGCCACGTTTGAAATTCAGGTCACAGCCTTTCATTTTTCCTGAGTTCACTACATGTTGCTTGTAGTGTTGGCCATCAGAGTGATGTTTTCAATTATTTAAAATAATTCAGGCAAGGCAAAAATGTTTGCTTTGTGCCAGCCCCAACAAGCTTGGCTTCCCTTATTAGCCAGACCCCCTCTTTGTGCTACTGAGAAGGAAAAAAAAAATCAATCCCAGTAGAAGCCCCACAGGAATGGGACAAAAATTTGGGGGAATTTAAAAAACTGTCTGCTGTGTATTTCTAGCTTTAGGGAGTATGGTCTTCTCAGCAACAACTATCTGTCTAGACTGGAGGAGAACTTTGAACTTTTTTGGAGAATTATCATTGCTTCTTTGATTTCTCAACACTCACTTCTCCACTACCACCTTGTTTTTATAATAATTTAGGGAATTAAAATAGCTTGTTTTGAGAAGTTAGGGAAGAATTTTGTGGTGCTCCCGGAGGTGAAATGAAAACCTTTGTGGTAAATAGAATCAGGACTGAGGATTGCAACGCTTAGACTAGAAATATCAGAGAGTGGTCTAACAGGGTTTAAAGCGTCTTCAGCCTTGGACCTTTGTAAGGTGACACTTCGGTTTCTAGCACAAATGAACAATTTGCTTCTAGCTGTTTTTTTTTTTTTTTGTATCTCATTTGCATAGGCAACATTCTTTTCATTTATTATGTTTACTTAAAAATTGTTTCAAGCCAGCAAAGCAAATGGATAGATATAAATATCTGTCACATGTTTTATTTTTCTGTTCGCTACTGGAACCATTCCCTTACTCAGTTTAAGAGAAAAACAAAACCATCATGGCTTTTGTACCCATTTGTCTGTCCTTTCCAGTCAGAATCACTTATGCATTGTTTGATCATTTATCGATTCATTTACTCAGTTGACAAATACGTATTGAGCATCTATCATGTTCTCAGACTGGGCTAGGTAGGCATTGGAATATAGGTAGATGTGTTTCCCACTGTCTGGAAGCTTCCACGCTACTGGGATTCTTAGCATAGTTCTCTCAGGATCTCTGTGCAGACCTCCTCAGACATGATGTTCCTTTGGTTGTGTCATTAAAGTCTAATAGGGGCATTTCTTGGCCTATATTTTTATCCTGGCTTTTTTTTTTTTTAAGTATTAGAGGCAGTCACTTTAGTACTTCTCTTTCTCCAACAGAGGTGAGACTTCAGGGATCTTAATACATTTGTTTTTTTTTTTAGCCTGACTCACAGGGAGGCCGCATGGAAGAGATCTCCTGGAATGCTTAGAGGCTGATGAACCATGTCCTTACACGATTAAAAGGAATTATATTTACATATCTGGGGGAGACGGAGATGTCTGAGCCAGGGCTTTCACTGCAGGCAGTTGATAAATATGTCCTTGGGCGTTTAGCTACAATCCTGGAGATTAGCGAACAAATCTCCCATCGTGAGAGAGGAGCTGTATGTCAAGTAACATAAGGTCTTCATTACATGAGGGAGATAACTCTGTGTTACCCAATGGGTTTGAAAGCATCCAGACGCAACTTGCAACGTGAGGAGCTCTAGGTAGCCAGCCTGTTGCCACATGTTCGTGGGTCTCTTGTGTTCAAATTCCTCGCGCTCGTGTGGTTCTGCTCTCCCGGCTGTGAGAGAGGGGACTCACCTGGCTGACTGGACGAATGTCTTTTGTTCTTCTCCTGTCAGTATATGGCTCCTCGTTGGCTGTGTGCTTTTATTCCCGTTTATTCTTATATCTCATTCCCCACTCTCATTCCTCTTCCTCCGTAGGGATTTATTCTTACTGATTTTGTATTGTTTGATGTACATTCATTTTTCCACTTCTATTAATTATAAGCATATTCAAACATAGTAGAAAATTGAAAGAATAGTATAGTGTACACTCCTATAACTACCACCTGGAATGAAACATTTCCTAGCATTTTGCCATACTTGCTTATCTCTGTATAGGTGTTTGAAAGCAAGTTATAGACATCATGTTAATCACTCCTAAATGCTTCATCATGCTTCTCCTAAAAATAAGGACATTCTCCTATGCAAAGATTGTATCATTTTCACACTTAAGAGTAATTATGTAATTTCATCTAATATCCAGTCCATATTCAAATTTCCCTAAATGCTAACAGTGATTTTTATACTTCTTTTTTTAAAAAATCAGAATCCATCAGGGTTTACACATTGTATCTGGTTAAATATTTTTAATTTTTTCTGCCCTAGAACAGCCTCCCTCTTTAAAAAATGACATTGACCGTTCGAAGAGATGTGTCCATCTGTCTTGCGAAATGCCCTTCATTCTGGATTTGTCTGATTGCTTTCTCATGATGTTGTTGAAACTTTTGTTTTATGTTTTGTGTTTCTAGTAAACTGGAAGTTTTATCAAAAGACTGGCTTAACTTCAAGTTCTGGCAAGAATACTTCATAGATGATTTAGTGTGCTTAGTATTATTGCATCCTGTCAGGAAGCTCATAATTTCAAAACAGCCAGTTGTCTGACCATGATGTTAAATTTGATCACTTGGTTAAGGTGGTGACCACCAGATCTTTTCATTATAAAAGTATGCTTAACCCTTTGCAAATTAGCAAGAAACCTGTGAGGGTGACACTTTGGTGTACTTGAACATTCTGTTCTCCAGTATTCTTTCCCTTAATAATGTTAGCATCCATAAATGATTCTTGTTTGGGTCATTATCTTATTGATAGTTGTAAAATTATGATATTCCATTGCTTTGATCCCTTCTACACTTATTAGCTGGAATCGTTTTATATAGTAGAGGTTTTCTTCGTCAACTGTGGATAAAGTCAAGGCTACTTCTTGATAAAAAGGTAAAGTTAGATGCTTAGTTATTTCCCTTTAACAACCAGCTGTTGGAGTAATAGGTTAGTGTAACAGTCACCTCTAAAAATGGAAAATGAATTTTTTCTTATATCTCATTTGATTCTCTTTCGAATGTCAGTATGAACCTATTGATATTATGTATTAAAGATTTTATAAATAATTATAGTCATTTTCATTTTTTACTGCTCAAATTTCTGTTTTCTGCCAGGACCCTGATTGATAGACAATAAATATATCCTAGACATCACTCTATATCACTACATAGAGATCATCTTCATTCTTTTACATAGCTGCATAGTACTCTATCGCATGGATGGACCATAATCAGTTCATTCTTTCTGGGCCAACTTTAACATTTCATCCCTCCACTCTCAGGAGTCACTTACTTTATTTGTTTTCCTTTCTGATTAGTGACATTGAACAATGTCACTTAACCTCTCTGTGCTTCAGGTTTCTCATCTGTAAAATGTGGATAATAATAGTACTGTATATAGGGTCATTGTAGAGATTTAATGAGTTAATAAATGTAAAGATATTAGTGTTTAATGTATATTAAATATCCAATAACTTTTAGCCATTATAAAAGCAATTATGATAATATAACATTATATTAATTATTATGACTATTATTATTTTTATGCGTTGTCATCCTCTGCTTGCCACTAGCCCCTGGGCAATGTAAGGATGAGCAGAAACTTTTAAGGAGGCCAATGTAGCTTAAAAAAAATGGAGACCTGGGCTTAGAACCTGGAGATCTGGATTCTAGTTGCTGATTTACTTCTAACCACCTCAATGAATCATTAAACTTTCCTTTTTTTATCTGTATAAAGTGGGAATTGGAGACAGGAGCTTAACTTTCTCCTTGCTCTCTGGTTTATATATTCTATTTGATGATTGCTTCACGCTGGCCAGAGGATGGGAAAATCCTCTGCTCTGAAAACTGGGACAGCTTCATCTGTCATCCTAGGATTGACATCCTAGGGTTTCTTATAATACACTGACATCAGAATAAAGATTGCGTAAGATATTTAGTACTGAAAGCAAAGTAGAGAGGGAGGAAGGGGAGAGAGATCGAGAGAGAGAGAGAGTGAGCAAGCGAGCGAGAGAGAGAGAGAGAAAGAGAGAGAGAGAGAGTTAGAGGAAGCAGGAGAGAAGAAAAGACAGAGAGAGAAAGAGAGAGAGAGAGAGAGAGAGGAAGCGGGAGAGAAGAAAAGACAAAAAAGGTAGAGGGAGGAAGAGAAAAAGAAAACAATTCAGCCATTCTTCCTCTTAAATTTCTTAGCTGTAAGATGCTTTTTCTGTTTCCACAAATGGGTACTATGCCTTCCTGTACATCAAATAATCTCAGGATAAAGTCACTATTCAAAAAAAAAAAAAGAAAGAAAAAAAAGATAGTAAAGGGTTTGAGATTCATATCTCTAAAAAGTTGCTTTTCAGAAAATTAATACTTGAGATTTCCTTTAAATGCAGCCCAAACATTCCAACCAGTTGACTATCCAGTACAAGCAGTAATAGCAAGGTTTGTGTTGAACTTATTGAACTGCAAGGCATGTCTCAAGGAGGTCATTTTTGTGGTGTGCAGAGTAGTGTATGATCTCTAACTCTGGTAGTCTGGGCACAGAATTAATGAGAGGTTTCATGTGTATCTAAAAGAACGTTTTTTTCCCCCCGAGAATTTATTACCCTTGTTTTATCATGTGCTCTCTAAGCTATTCAAGTTGGTGGTCTGAATGGTAACTTCAAAATTTCTCTTAAAAGCTCTCCTTGGGGCTCGTGTACCTTTCTGTGTGCTATATTTCGATGAAAGAAAAACAACTCTGTTTAAGTCTCACTTTCTCCAGGATGAATTTAACATACCCATCGCCCTGTATCTTTGGCATTTCCTGAAACACTCAGCACTTAAGAAGCCTGTACCGTGATCTCGGGAACTGGCGAACTGTACTTTAGTGAAAGGAGCGCTAGACTCAGTCAGCGTCCCTGACTCTACAGTTCATTCTTGGTTCTTTCAGGTAAGAGCTGCCTGTTGTTGGGCAAGACATTGGACTTCTCTATGGCTCAACTTTCTCAGGTATGAGACGGGCATAATATGTGTTGTCATGAAGATCAAATAAGATAATAGATATTAAAAAATGCTTCCTTAATGAGAGAAAATGTGAAAATTTCACAATTAAGATTTTTACATGTTTCTGTTATCTTTCTAGTCTGTTACGTTATGTATGTGTGGCTTCCCTGGTAGAACCACAGCTGCCTACACATCATTTTCCACCCAGCAGTCAGTGTGATCCTGTGAAAACATCGTGTCAGGCCACGCCCCTTCTCAGCGCCAGGGCCCGCATTTCTCTCTCTGCCCTCTCGACTCCTCTTTGCCTCTCTGACTTCAGTTCCTATTCCCCGCTCTCCTCCTTGTCTCCCAACACACTGGATTTCCTGCAAGTCTTCAAAACTGCAGTTTTGATTCTGCTTCAGAGCCTTTGCAGTTTACTCTGCTGGAAATGCTTCCACCCCACACGTCCATGGGGCTCACTATGTCGCTTCCTTTGAGTCTTTGCTTTCCAGTGAGATCTTTTCGGCCATTCTGTTATAGTTGCAATCCTGGCAACCTCGACCCTCCTTCCTGCTTTATATTTTTACGTAGTACTCATAACCTTCTAATATACAATGTGAAGGACTTGTTTGTTTTGGTTATTATTTGTCTTTCCCCACTAGTTTATGAGCTCCACAAGAGCAAGGATTTTTCTGTTATATTAACTGATGGATCCCCAGCACGTAGAACATGGCTGGGCATGTAGTAGACCCTCAATAAATATTTGTCGAATGAGTAAACAAATAAAGACAGTGTCAGTCTCACAATCAGACAGAGAAAGGACGAGAATTTACATTTCCAGACACGTTTCCATACATAACTAGTAAAAAGAAGCCCTATTGTAAAGTGTATGCAGATTCTCTACCTTCTCCCACCTGGAAGATATTTGTGTCATCTCTTCATATGTTTTAATAATCCAGGAACACTGTTTTTATTCCAAAGACCCATGGAGAAGCAGTAAATTCAGGAGAGAAATAGAATCTGGACCATACCAGGCAAATGTGACCCAATGCACTGACCTACTACTGTAGGCTAGTGTTTCCTCACCTACGTTTGTAGTATTTTCTTCAGCAGCATGTAAAGCGCAAAATTGTGACCACACAGTATTTCTCAAACTATGTGCCAGGAAATACTCATTCCAGGAAATGGTGATCTGTGCTCAAAAAGAATAAGGGTTCTGTGGTTTTGATTCATAGTACATATTAGCATATTAAAAGCTCTGAGGAGTTACACATCTTAAAAATAAAGGATGGGTAGCCTGTTTAATAGTTATTAACTTTTTGGCATAGGGGAAGACTTTTTCATTGTATACCTATGAATGCCCTATTCTGCTCCCAGAGAATAAAACGTAAATGAGTACTAACATTTATGGAGTTTTACTTAATATTTTGTGAAAAGGCCCAGCATTGAGATAAAATGTGTACACCAGGTCCATGACATCATGCCAGATTATTTTTTAGGATCCAGACAGTATTAAATTCTGCCTCAGTACGTTAATTTATTTGAAATGACACACCGATGTTAAAAGTCACTACCCTATTTTGTGGCCATGATATACAACTTACGAACTTTCATTTTCCATAGATCTCATGGGTATATACATTTTATTTTGCCACCGAGTCCTGTTTAGTCCTCTGCAAACTTACCTAAGGAAGGAAATACATTTATAGAAGGAATACACATTATGTCAATAATATATTCTCAGTTACACTGCAGCTGCTTTGGGACTTTTCGTTATCGAAGTACTTATCAAGCACTGCTCCCTACTTTATGCCAGGGATTCCATTAGACACAATGAAGATACCAGGGGGAACAAAACAAGGCAAGATCGTGGAGCTCACATTCTAGTCTCACCAGGCAAAGACAACGAGAAGCACACCAAATCGTTAAATGTTGAGACAACAGTTTTAAGGGACGAGAGTAGGAGCTGAGATAGAGAATAAGGTGTATGTGAGGGCGTTTCCTACTTGAGGTGAGGTTAGGAGGGAAGGATGCTCTGAGGTAAGGACACTTAACCTGAGATGTAAGGATGATAAGGAGCTGGCCATGCCAAGATGGGGAAGAAGAGTGTTTGTTTAGGCAGAGGGAATGGCATGGCCAATGGCTCAGCTGCAGGAAGTCACTTGCTGAAAAATGGAAAGAAAGTCACATGGTTGACCAACAGTGTTCATGAGAGCTGTGAGATGAGGGGAAGGGTGGGAGTCAACGTGTACATGCAAATCATTCAGGGCTTTTGAGGCCATGAGATGGACTTTAATTTTGAGAGTGATATGATCGGATTTATGTTTCAAGGAATCTCACTAAAAACAGAATATGCTCCAGTGCACTAAAAATGTCGTTAAGTGAATAATGAGCATTTTAAAATGCTTTTAACTATATGAAAAATACAAATTATGTATTTATCCTTCTCTCTATCTCAAACATACATATCTTCCAATTCTATATGAACTTCTGGGTCTTGGTGAAATGTTGTTACTCTATGTTTTTATACATGAGTCTTCAAGTCTAGGCTCTGTATACTTCTATGCTTTAGAGAACAACCATAGCCTGTTCTCTAAAGGGGCACATGTGAGGATTTTTAGGATAAAGTCTACCTTCTGCAGTCCTGGAACTTGTTTTGGGGGCCTGTTACCCCCATCGTGACCTCTTTCCTTCTTCCAAGGCCCAGACCTTCCTCGGATCTCCATTCTACCCATCCTTAAGCTTAGCTGTTCACACAGAAATCTCTGTTAAAGTGTTAAAAGAATTATGTTATTACATGGAGTGGATTGAAATGTGATCTCTACCAAAAGCATTTATATTTTGAAGATAATTTTTTAGGGCAGTCCAGGCCCCTGAGACATAGAAGAGCCATAGGGTCAGTAGGTGGGGCATTCTTTCTTGGGAGGACAAGAGGGACACCTGCTCTGAGTGCTGAGGGTTCCATGTATTAAAAGCACACACACAAAATAAATGTAGTAAGTAATATGTGGGGTCTGTCACTTGGGACTGTCACAGTGTGATCCACAACCCTAAACGTCCACGATTATGATTCTCATCATTCAGGGTCCTGGGAAATGCTTTTCCACGTCTCTTGCCCTGTGATCTAAACATCTGTGGGTTATTTTACTGCTGAAGTCAGAGACAGACACTACTTTGTGTAGAAAGGATTTGAGCAGTGAAAGAACTTAATTAAGACTAAACAAATTAATCAACGTATCAAATCTCTCCTCTCTCAAATTCGAGAGATGCACTGCTTCCTAGTAGCACTGAACATCCATTTTTCTTGCTCTTCTTCATGCTACAGTTAGTGGTTCCTGAGGTTCTCATGAATTAGCATGATGCTTGCAAACAGCAGTAGAGAACATTTTGCAACATCAGATAATTCATGGAACTCTTAAAGTTGTACTTATGTCAGTATAAACATAATATACATGAAGTACGATAGTGATTCTTTTTGTTAGCTACTAGGTGAACACTGAAATCTAGAACAGCGAAAGCTTTGTTTTTATAAAAATGTTGGATAAGAGTTTTTAAATTCTCAGAAATTAAATTAAGAACTTCAGCTTTATTTAAATAATTTTAATTTTAAATGTTGCTATGTCAATTATAATTTATAGTTTGTCTTTTAATTTTAATAAATAATTTTAAATACTTCAGACTAAAACTGACCTTTGGAAAATTTATGAAAATTCATTTTTATTTTTTCAGTTTTTTTACATTTACTTTAATTTACAGAATTCGATGGAAACCTGTTTAAATTTTTATCAACTTTGAATATTACTTTTAAAATATTTTAATCCTTTAGATTATTGAGAATGAGTACAATTTATGATTATAATAGAAATTGAAAAGACAACGGTGGAGTTCAGAAAAGAGAAAAATCTATAAAGAAAAATAAGTAAATCTTCAAAGAAGCAGTCTGCTAAATTAAAAAAAAAAAACTGTTAAAAAAAAAAAGTGAGCAGGCTTCTGTTGGATATGACCCACATAAAATTTGCAAGTAGAACATTACAAATTCTTTTTAAGTCAGGTTTTTTAGTATAACTAACATAAGGTAACAGTCACCCTTTTTAGGTGTTCGGCTTTATGTATTTTGACAAAATGTATACTATTATGTAACCACAACCCAATCAAAATACAGAGTATTTCAATCAACACAGAAAGTTTCCCAATGTCCCTTTGTAGTCAATCTCCTCCTCTTCCTCTCTCTGCCCCCAGCAACTTTTAATTTGATTTCTGTCCCTATAATTTTGTCTTTTTTTAGAAAGTCATGTAAAGGAAATTCATACAGTATATAGTCTTGAGTGTCTGGCTTCTTAGCACGATCCTTTTAAGAGTCATTCATATCGTTACCAGTATCAATAGTTCGTTTCCTTTTACCATTGAATATTAACCCATTATATGAAGGTAGTACAATTTGTTTATCCGTTCACCAGTTAACGGACATTTGTTTTTTTTCCAGTTTGGGGAGATTGTAAATAAAGCCACTATAAACCTTCTTATAGAGGTCTTTGTGTGGATATAAGTTTTCATTTTTCCTGGGTAAATACCTGGGAGTTGTTTGCTGGGTCATATGGTAAATACATGTTTGATTGTGTAAGAAGCTGTCAGTGTTTTCTAGAGTGGCTGTCCCCTTTTGCATACCCCCCAGCAGGGTATGAGACTTCCTCTTGCTCTGCATCCTTGCTAGCACTTGGTATTATAAGGTGGTTTCTTCTTCTTTTTTTTTTTATTGTTTGTTTCTCTCAACTTAGTCATTTTAATTGGTGGAAATTCTCTAATTACTGATCAGAACAATTGAAATGAGCAAGAAAATTATTCTCATCAGCAACACAACTTGAATAGGTCAGATGAGATCTCATAATTTCATGCTGTTGATTAAAATGAATATGTGCAGGCCTCCATTTGTCATCCTGCTCAGGGCCCACGGATAATAGTGGTGAG